TGGATTGACTGATTTTTTAGCAATGTTAGTGCCCAAATTATTCAGTAAAAAAAAAATAATAAAAAAAAAAAAATAATATATATATATATATATATATATATATACAGTATATAAATATATTAACTTTAAAAAAATAAATTTAAAAAAATCACATATACACTGTGAATGCTTTCCGGATGCACTGTATATATGACATGATTCTGCCCCTGTCTTTGTATGTCTCTAGTCTTGAGGCAGGATCATGACAGACCCATGTTTTGTGTACAAGCACATGGCCATTTGTTTGGGCTGTGTGCTCCGCCCCCTTGTTATCCTCGTTTTGTCATTATTGCTTTACCAGTGTCACCTGCTGTCATGATTAGGTTCTCCCTATTTTATCCCCTCATGTTTTCTGTCCTGCGTCGGTTCATTGTCAATCAATGTGTAACCAGCCTGTGTTTGTACCATTGCTGAGAGGTCCTTGTCAAGTAAGAGTATTTTCTAAAGAGTTGTATGTAGTATATCCCAGTTCTTAGTCTAGTTATTGTTTTGTTTGTTAGTCAACCATCCTTACCTCTGTTTATACCCCCTCGTGGGTTTTGTTTTCTGTTATAAATAAACCTTGTGTGTTTGCATATTGTCTGCAATTGGGTTCATCATCACCCTCATGACAATAAGTATATATATATATATATATATATATATATATATATATTAGTATAAAATATTCGTTTTCTTCTCTGTGGGCCTCGAGATTTCACGTAGTGTAACAGTGCACCGCTTCTCTGTTGTACGTCACACACCAGCGTCGGCCAATAGTGAGCCTGCGTGTGACGTACAACACAGAAGCGCTGCGCTGTTACTAGGGGTGTCACGATTCTCCAAATCCTCGATTCGATTTCATTTTCGATTCTAAGGTCACGGTTCGATTCTCGATTTTTATCAATCGGCCAATCAGGATGCTCTCTGTCTTACATGCGCTTCGTGAGGCACACACGCAAGGTCTCTCGCTCTCCCCCTCTCTGCCGTGCACGCAATACGGTTTGGAGCACAGTTTTTTCTGTCTCGCACGCTCGCTCTTGCTCGCTCGCTCTAGATTCCTTTTAACTAATTTACGTGCATCAGGGAGCCGCTATTATTATATCAATATGCGGGAGACTCCCGGAACTTCCGCGAGACTTTGGATGTCTGCAAACTGTGGCTTTTTTGAAGCGCGAACGTTAACTTGTCAACATTACTCACTGGAAATCCCAAAAAACGAAGTTTTACTTTGTAACCATTTGAGTTTTGAGCAGTCGATGACGTCACGCGCCGACCGTTCTAATCTCACCGGTGTGATCGCGCGCTTCAAAAGGTTCATTATCAGATGTATGTAAATATATTTTTGTCATTTGAAAGCTGCATTTAAATCCTTTTGGCTCAAAAAAAAATTCCGGTTTGAACGGGCATGACTTACAGCCGAGCGTAGAGTATTGATCAGGAGTCTGAAGAGCCGTCTGTCCCTGAACGATCTCCATGTATGACTGAATTCTTCTGGCACAATTCTCATAATTCTCCAGTCTAAATGCAAAAGGATCATTGTGCGTTTTAGAATCGATGTTCTCAAATATTATTAGGCGTTTATAAAGTATAAAATGCCACTCACCTCCCCTCCATAACAATCACACACACATATATGCTGACTGACTCACAGTAAAACTGGCTCTGATGTTTGTTGTCAGACCAGTGCACGCGCCTGTAATGGTTGCTAGGAAACCAGTTAATGAGTTGTAGCAAAGAGAGGGTGATCAAATCTAAATTTCCAGAGTGAAAACTTTCCTTCTCATACAAACAAAATAATATATAATAAATATAGGCGTAAATCATGTATGGAAATTATTAAAACATCCGATTAGTGAAATGATTTGTACTGCAATACGCTTCATGAACACTTGATGGCGGGAAAACGCTGCGAATGACCAAAGTCCCAGATACACGTGTAGTCTTTGGAAAATTAAAACATACCGTAATAGTACTTATAGCCAACTTTTGAGTCTGACTATTTGGGACGTAAGCTGTGTTGGTGATTTAATCAAGATTGGTGTATGTTTTCATCAAATAAGCTTTAATCATTTAATCATAGTATTAATATAATTGTTATTAATATTTAATAATTATACGTCAACAAACACATTATTTCTCCTTAACTTGATCACTAATTAACTATGAATATAAAATAATAATTAAAAACATATATTGCACAAAAAATGCAAAGAAATAAAATAAACAAAATAAATTAACTCTGAACCGAAGACAAACGACAAACAATGTTCCGCATTCTTGATCATTAATTAACTCTAAATACAACAGTATATATAAATATATATATATATATACAAACACATAATATATAAAAACTTTTATGTTAGATGTGATCAATCGTTATTGATCGATTTGACAGCACTAAAATAAATACATACATAAATAAAAAACAATTATATTCTATTGCAAAATCCTTATTAGAAAGTATTTGTAATCTTCGTAATGTTTTATGTATTATGCTCTAGTGCTGTTGAACAGTAAATCTTGATATTTCTGAAGAATGAGTAGGCTATATTTGAGGTGAAACTGTGGGTGTAGTTACACGCTATGAACTGCAGGCGGCGCTGTGCGCGCGAGTCGGATCGCGACCGCTCAATGGAGCAGCAGAAGAAGAAGAAGACGGGAACATGTACAAGGTGAGAATTAAAAACTTCAGCTGGTCCTTCAGTGCGTGTTCGTGACTAATACACTCATAATGCGTACAACCGTGCGCTATTCAGTCTTAAACTCACACGTACTATGAGTTCAGCTTAGTTCAGTTCATTATAAAGATGATCATTTGTTTTTTTTAGCTTTAAAGAGGCATTTGAGGACAGGAAATACAAGGACACGGCGACACAAAATTAACTATTTTACTTGTTTAAATAATTATATTATCCTGTCTAGTATTTTAGGATGCTGTACATTCTGTAGAGTGTGTTTATTGCATAAAAACTCTTATTTCGCTTAGTGTTAGATCATCATACCGGTCCGGTAGTAAAAGTTCAACTCTCTTTTGGCTGTATTCCCACTGTTTATGCTGAAAATATAAGATGACATTAAAGATTATAATAACACTTACAGATCTTATGTTTTATAGCAGTTCGCGATTTTATCCAAATGTATCAGCCCGTCTGACAGTGAAATTGGACACTAGATGGTAATAAAACACCGTTAAATCTTTAAATGAAACTGAAAACTGTTGTACAATGCTAATAAAGTCATCATACCCTGTGAAAACCTGACCTTTTGTCATATTACACCCCGTAAAAAAAAAAAAAAAATTAAGTCTGATTTTTTTTTTAAGCTTTATGTACACATTATAACCCTCATCGTCAAAGTAAAAAAAAAAAAAAAACATTTTAAAACATTCTGGAGGATTATTAAAAAATAAAGGAATAGTTCCCTGGTCTAAATGGTTATCTTTTCCTCACCCTCAAGTTGTTTCAAACCTGTATGAGTGTCTTATCTCTGATGAACACAAAAGAAGATATTTTGAAGAATGTCAGTAACCAAACAGTTGATGGACCCCATTTACTTCAATAGTATTTTTTTTTGGAAGTCAATGGGGTCCATCAACTTTTTGGTTACTGACATTCTTCAAAATATCTTATTTTGTGTTCAGCAGAAGAAAGAAATGTACAGATTTGGAACAACTTGAGGGTGAGGAAGTTATCATTTTTGGGTGAACTATCACTTTAAATTTATACTTAACCTGTATCAATTGCAATGGTATTAATTTCTCATATTAATCATGTGTTTGCGAAGGGGAAATAGAAGTAAATATCAGTCCAGTGAAAATCAAGAGACAGCAGAGAGAGTTATGTAACCCTTTCTGATATTGCTTTACTGTTACTCATTAAATCCCTCAGTTTCAGACACTTCAGGGACCTTGAATGTCCTCAAAACAACTGTGTTTGAGTAAATGTGTCTATGTTATTCCTGCCTAAACAAGAAACATTCTGCGTGTGTTGACAGAGTACAACCCGGCTGTCTGTAGATAAAGAAGCCGCTGTGAAGTTCTGCGATGTTTTATGTTTGTCCAAACATGGGGGTTTATGGATCAGGAACTTCATTCACGCTCCGTGTTTTGTCCTGATAGGTTGGAGGAGTTGCAGGAGTCTCGGGAACTCTGGGATTGATCTCAGCTTCTGTTCTGGCCGCCACCGATGACAAACCCAGCACAACTTTGAGTGTAGATGAGGTACTTTTATACGGTCACATTTTAACTCTAAACTTAACAGAAAAAAAAGTGTTTTACATATAGAAAAGGAATTGTGTTTTCGTGACCATTAAGATACAAATATTTTTGAACATCATAGTATTTTTTGTACTGCCTTTAATTCGTGCTGATTAAAAAAAAAAACATTGTATTGCAGTATTTTTTATTACAGTAATGAAAATCTAATGAAAATAAGATAATCTAAAAAATAAGAAGCCGGGATGCATTTTACGGTAATGAGAAATTGGGGTGAATTGGCATGAAAATAAAGTAAAAAAAAAAAAAAAAAAAGTATATATATATATATATATATATATATATATATTAATAGTCATAAAGTAGACACATTTCTTCATGCAAAATATAGTTTTATAAGGGTGAAATCTGACCCTTTTTTTTTACATAAGGATAATGAAGCCAAAAGTCTTGCATTTTCATGAAAATAAGATATATTTGAACATCATAGTGTCTTAATTCATGCTGATTTCAAAAAAAAAAAAAATGTATTTGTATTGCGGTATTTTCTACTTTATTGCAGTAATGAGAATGAGAATCACCATTGAGAATAATGATTACAAAAAACTCCAATAAAAAGTCTGGATGCATTACGGTATAATGAGATAAAATGTGCTTAACTGTCATGAAAATAGTGTCAAAAAAAAAAAAAAAAAAGAGTTAAATTCATTTAACAGGGTAAAATTTGACCTTGAATGTGTTCAACAGTACCTGAATGATCTGTCCTCCTAATCTGTATTACAAACAAGAGTTTAACATTCAACTCAAAAGTAAAATGTCAGGATGAAAAATGTCTATTACACTACAAATTTTTTTTTATTAAAATGACATAACACGGCTGTCATAAGTGTATCAGCAGTCAAATGTGGAAGGAATTTGATTGGAAATTGAAAATTAGATTCTTTAGAGTTCCACTGGTGGTTGCCCAATTTGACAGTACTTCGCCATTATCACAATGCTGGAGAGATTGTGGGATGGTGTGGACTATGTGCTTATATTCTGGGAATGCCCCAAAATACAAGTGTATTGGCAGGGGGTTAAGAGGCAAATCAATAAAGTTTTAGAAAGAGATATTCCAATGCGCCCAGAATTTTTTTTGCTTGATGGTTTCCCCAGTAAATCCCACTTATTTGCATTGCATATATTGTTAATGGCAGCTAGGAGGATAATCACTGTGAATTGGATGAAGGTGCACGAACCCACGGTGACAGAATGGACACATAGACTGAAACAGATATACATATTTGAGAAGATGACTGCGGATGTGCAGTTAAAATCATTTTTCTGACATTTTTCGACAGAAATGGGCATTAATTGAAAATTTGCTTGAAATAAATAGACTTAATATATGTTAATGTTTGAACAATGCAGATAATGTATTGGTATGTGGTACATTCTTTGAAGTGCGATTTGTGTATTTATTTTAAGTTTATTTGTCTTTATTTTATTTATTTGTTTTTATTTATTTTTTATTACTCACTGTTTATAAGAAAAATTCAATAAAAACAGTTAAAAAATTATTTTTTTTAAAGACAACACTCAAAAGTCAAATGATGCATTAAGGTAATGAGAGAAAATGTGCTTTATTGTCATGAAAATAATGTCAAAATGCAACAAATCGTCAAAAAATAAATAATAATAAAGTCCTAGAGTTTCATAGCTAATTTCATTGTTTTTCCTTTGACTTTGGGGTGAGATTTGACCCAGATGTTCATCAGAACCAGAGTTGAATGTTAAGGAAATAATGGTGATTGTAACATACACACGTTGCTGTTTTAGCTGTCTCTCTACACGACTGCGGCGCAGAAGATCCAGCATGTGGAGCCGGAGACCGGGCCGGTGGAAGAGGGTGTTTCCACACTGAGAAAACTGGCAGAACCTTATGTCACCTGGTGCCAGGTACACACACACACACACACTCTCGGTCCTAGCTCTACAACAGCAGAGAGTGTTGATCTTCTGTACTGGCCAACACATGTCTATTATTAAACAGTATATGTATCTCTGCATTACTCAGCGGCGTGAGCTTGCAGCATGTTGGCTAATCTGCTCTGCATGGCTTTTCTATCGCTCCATCTCTTCATTTCATGACAAAATATGTTTCTAATAATTATCCATCACACCAGAAACGCTTTACAATCATGTACAACACTCACTAGAATAATTCAGTCATTTACAACAGCTGGAAAACACCAATCAGCCAGGATATCTCAGTCCTGATCATAAATAATATTATTTAGTTTTTTATTTGGGGATGAAATATTTAACAATAACAATGTAATGTCACAATGCACAAAATTATTAGTAATATTATTATTAATCTGAATAGTCCTAAATCTGGATGTTGTATTTTTCTATTCCTGCTTTTGATTTTAGGATGAAATGAGATTCAAACATGTTTAACTCAACTAAAATAATCTATTACACTCATACTGGATAATTATATTAGTAGAAAAATAAATATTTAAAATCTAATTGACTAATAATTCTGTCTTGCCTAATTGATTTGATATTTCTAAACACTCGAAATTCACTTTGTTTCGTTTTTAATTTTTTAATTTTTGGTGTCTAAATTGTGAATTAGAGCTGCATTCTATAATATTTCTGTGCATTTGAAAGCTTTTAGTTTATTAGGCATAGAAAAAACACTTTCTTTAGAAGTCGTTCAAAACTGTCAGACACACAAAGCTGGTCACAGTGTTTTAAATGTGATTTCACAGACCTTGAAGGAATGTCTCGGGGTCAAAGGTTAAGCTCCATGTACTGCATCTGTGACCTTCTGTCCATTACTACAGAGAAGAAGAATAATAATCCCTCCGTTTGTAAAAACAAGCAAAAATCATGTGTACAGTAATGCACATACAATATCATATAACCTTTCATCTGGTGCGTACAAGGGTGCAAGAAAGGAACTGTTTACAAGGAGAAGTTTGTTTTTACAAACAGAAATAGAAAGTTCAGATTATTTTCTCTGCTAATCTAGATCATGTCTCCGATGTTTTCAGTAGAGTATTACTGGAGTCGTCGGATATGTTTCAATAGTTTCTGAATGTTAAGAGATAAATTATGGAATGCAGCTCTTTCCTATAATCTGTGACTTTACATGATGATTTATAATCATTTTAATGATTTGGTTCCTCTTGATTGCGGTTGTGATTTTCCTGGTTTCTGGTGGTCTCATCCGCGTCCAGCAAACGGCCAGCTCGGCCAAACACACAGTCCAGGTACCCATGAGCCCTTGCACACGCCATCACTCACGCTGCTCGCAGATCTGCCTGTGTTCGAATAGCTTTACTGCATAGAAAATAGGGGTGTAACGATATTGGAACCGAACCGAAAAACCGCGATACAGAACCCACGATTCGAATCGCGATACCGAACACGCCCCGCCCCCCCGGCCCCGCCCACCCCGGCTCATTGGACCTCATGTCTTATGTGTATACAACGAATTCAGTTTTGTAGCCTAAAGGGCCTTTCACACCGGACGCGTAGAGAAAAAGCGAAACGGAAAAGCGAATAGTTCGCGTCAAAACCATTGACATCAGCCGCGACGCGAATTTGCGACGTTCAGAACTTCAACATTCCAAAACTTTCGCGCCGACAGCTGAGAAAACACGGACACTTCATCATCATCATCACCATCCAGTGAAGACGAGCTTTTTGTTTTCTTTATAAAGACAGAAAAGAAGGTTTTGTGTGCACCCAATCTTAAAGAACAGAGAGTCTGAAGGGGAGTATGCTAATAAAGTGTTTTCTGTCAGTTTTCGGTATGAGACGCGCTCCAGTTCATGCGCCGGCGCCTCCGTGTCCTAATTATATTGTCTACTATATTTGCTTCTTATTCCTATTAATCCAGGCAATTTGTTGATGAAACATTGATTAAAATTAAGAGACAATTTATACAAAACGAAATTCACTTTAAAGAAAGGCTTTCTACAAAATTTTGAAAATCGGTCGAGAAAGCCTGAATTTTTAAAAAACTCATCCCGCCCCTCCACACACACACCCCTCCCCTCGGTGCTACCTGATCCCTCCCACCGGGAAACGAACTGAACTACGTCACTCAGTCAAGCTGTGATCACCGGTAGTAAACATCGGAACTGAGATGTAATGTCAGTTCATGTAATGTTCAATCTAATGACCTCGCTAATGACACATATGTAAAATTGCCTTTAGACACTTGAACTTAGTTGCTTCATCAACAATTCAATGTCACGTTTGAGTTCACGTCAACGCAAGATTAGCAACACATGAAATGTTCTAAACTCCCCACCACCATTAGTATAATACTACTAGTATTGCTAAGGTTTTCAGTAATTGTTATTGCAGCACACAGCACATCTTGTTCAAATTTCGATCGGCTCGAACAGAAACCCGCTAGGCCTACTGAAATCTATTCAAGGACTTCAAGAAATATAATTACTTTGACCCGTGATAGGCGATGCTAAACGGCTAACATTCCAATGCCGACCGGCAGCATGAGCAAGTTGTCAAACTGATAAAAAGCTATTTTTGTAACACGTCCATAAGTATAAATAAATGTTTACCTGCTCAACAAAAAGTCAGCCGTGTCAGCGTCGGTTTTTAGTCCCAGATCTTCCTGAAGCTTCCTCCAACGGTCAATGGTGGACCCTATATTTATCCTACTCAAAGTTCGGCGTTCTTCACATTTTTTTTTTAATCTCTGCTCGTTCCTCTAATGACTTTCTCTTTCGTCCTTAATTTACTGTAGGGACAAGCAGGGGACGCTTGCTGCTGTCTTTTTTTTTTATCCATTGCTGATATGCTACTTAGCTAGCTACCATAGACTGTGTCAGCTGCTTGCTCGCGCAATTTCATGACGCAGGAGGGGGGCGGGTGCGGTGGAGATGCGAGCGCCAGGCGGAGTTTCAGTGGAGCTGGTGATTGGATGAGAGCAGTTGACCAATGTAAGCTGTCCGGCCGGACAGCTTACATTGGTCAACTTCTCTGCGGCTGTACAGCCAATAGAGTGAATGGATGTTTTTCATTCTTTTTTCTATTCATATTGTTAGGATTGCACTATATAACCATAACCAGCATCTAAACGAGGATATTAATAATGAACAATCTTTGAAATCGTATACCCTAGCTTTAATAAGTGGTCAAAATTATGTCTGACCCATTCCAAATGTTTTCGATATATTGGGCATCGTATGATCCTTACTCATCTCATGCGGTTCCCTTTTCATATAGATCATCAACATAGATGAAATAAAAAAATAGCATTATATTATTTAAACGTATATGAAACGTAGGTTTTGTTTGAGTTTTTTAACTTTATAGGCCTATTTAAGCGTCACCCCGCTCTGCTTTATTTACGCACATGCTCTGCTGTGTGGCCTACATGCATGCAAAAATAATATGAAACACACAACCATGAATGTTGAAAATATTCCAAATCAATTATTTCCCTCTAGTCAAAAATATTATAAATCATCAGCACGCACTTCAACTTCATCAACTCAACTTCGTCAGAGCGGCCAACGCGTCAACAAGCTTCGCCTTCGCCTTTGTTTCCCTGTATGTGATTGGCTGAAGCCTTTTCTGTCGCCGCAAAAGTAAAAAAAAAAAAAAAAAAAAAAAAAAAAAAAACTCTAGCTCACCCTCGCTGGATCTAGTGGACAGAACATGACGCGCTATCAAGCCTTGTGCGAGTTCAACAAGGACAAGTTTGTTTTGATGCGCAATATGCTGGCATACATAATATTGTATTTTTCTCTAATATTTGTCATGATTATGATTAATTATTTATCATTTATGTGACAAATGCGTAAACACTTAATAAAAACATTGCTCACACTATGTGTGTGTGTTTCTAAAAACTGTTGAAACTTTGTATCTTTATTATTTTCTCTTTATTACGATGAACAGTTTCGTTGTTTTCCTCACATTTAAAGCCGCTTTGGACAAAAGCGTCTGCTATATGATTATGTAAATTACTAGACTTAAAAGGCAATGTGAAAGCTTACTATCTGTGCACCCGTTTATTTTTTGTCCACCGCATTAACGTTTGTGTTATTTGTGATTTAATCTAAATCATCTGATTAATTTATGAAATAAAAAATAAGACTAGGTTACCTAATCTGCTTTTTGTACGTAAATGTAAAAGCATAGGCTACTCCAACAGGCCAGTTGTAATTTTTTTTTTTTTATATATTGTAGAAATGGAATATTGACTAATTTGTGATAGGCTTATAAGGCTATGCATTAAGCTATTTTAATTAAATGGAAACAAGCAGTCCAGTACTCTAAAACCAGCCATGTGACTTCCCACACTAGAGGAAAAACAAGATAACAAATGTGCTCTGAGATTAGTGAGGCATCAACTCCATCAACATTTGGGAGAAGATACATGTAATTTAATAGCACATACGCCACTCCCCCACAAGTGTTGAGTTGGATTCATTTGTTTCTATTAGCCTAAATTAGCTAAATGTTCATCTAACATAAAATTAATCCTAAATCTAGATACAATGTTATAAGATAAAAACTCAATCGATATTTATTTACATAGTACCCCCCACTGGTAGATTCAAGTTCAAGTTGATTTTAGGCGCGGTCGTGTTTATCGCGAAAGTTAACCTGCGCGGCCCCGCCCACTAAATCCAGTGAGGTGAAGCGGGTGGAGCTAGAGCTCCAGCGAGGGGAAGAGCTGGAGCTGTAGCTCCTCCTATTTGGCTCTGCATCGAGTACCACTTGCAATAAAACAGCTTAGTTTGTCATAGCATTATATTTACCTCAGCAGGCAAGTGATTCAGTGTCCACAACTTGTTGTTGGTCCTAGAGAAATGAACTCTTGCACTAAATAAATGCACTAATTAGCCTATATATTATATTTTACTTAACCTGTTAATGCTATCTTGATTGTTTAATGTATGTTTGAAATATATTTCTTGAAAATGACAGCAACTGTGTAAATTATTATATTTCAATAACAAATTAGAGTAAAAACACAAGTTGCAAAAACTGCCTTATGTTCAGTTTACATGTTTTCATACAATGTGTTGGGTGTTGATTATTATATCAAAAAAATAAATAGCATCTGAATTTAGGCTAAAAGTCTAGGCTCTGTTGTTAACCTTTAATGCTATAGTAATGTGCGGCTCCCTATATAGTTTACAGTATTACCAGATTTTTTTTAATCCTTGCGAAACGTTTAGTTGTAATTGAATTAATTTAAAGACAAAGACAATTTTTTCATTAAACCACTGTTTACGAAAAAAAAGAAAAGAAAAAAGCAATTTTAGCTTTCTAAACCGAACTAAACCGAGACGTCAAAACCGTGGGAAAACCGAACCGTCAGTTTAGTGTATCGTTCGTTACACCCCTAATAGAAAATAACTTGAGGATTCCGATGAGGTTATGTGACAAGAATGAAGCGTGTCTCCACTATTTCTAATAATACAGTAGTCAACATTTGAAGTGGATCAAAACCTTTCATCAAAGTTATACATGAATTTTGAAGAATACCCGTTCTTGTCTTCTTAGGACAACTTTGATTAACTTTTTTTGATCCACTTCAAATGTTGACTACTGTATTATTAGAAATAGTTGCGCTATTCAGTGTACACTGTGCAGTAAACAGTATGCTAGTATGCTTCATTTCCAAACATTAGCCATTGTGTTTGCTTGTGTAAAGGACAGATGTGTGCTCTGTGACCCAGATACCTACATTTGTCTTTATACGTGAAAGAAAGTATCAAAGTCTATTGCATCAACAACGACTGTTTTTAAATCCTCTCGCTTTTGCACTTGTTCGGACAAAGCCTCGTTCCAGTCAGTGCTGCGCCTCGGGATAATCCTAAATCATTCATTTACAACATTTTCTAATTTTCCTTTTCAGCATAAATTAGTACGCCATGTTAATCAATCAACTAGTGATATATAAATGCAAACTTTATTATATAAAGCTTTTAGACTGATTAAGCGCATGTCTATTCTTTATGAACCTTTATGAACCTTCTTTATGATCTTTAATTTGTTTGCATTATGCATTTAAAAGTTAATGGCTTTTAAACGGATCTTTATAAAAGTTCATGTTGCAGATGAAATAGCACGGATAACATTAAATACATATTTTTATCAGGTTAAATGATTATTAGTCGCTCAAACCCCTTTATCTAAACCTCTCTACTTAACTTAACCATCACATCCGCCATGTTTGTAGTTTAACACTTTTTACTCGTATTTGTAGTTCTGAACC